TATGTTTAATGTTATTGCACTGAATGTATCTCACTTGGCTCTTTTGAATTTCATATAAATGAAATTTTTTCTAGTGCTGTTCCCTTCTTAACTGTATAATTAAATTTTTAACTGCAGTCCTGTAAACATATACATTTGTATACAAATAAAAAGTAGCTGCTGAGATTGAGAAAATGTCCAGTCCTTGAACTGCATTAGCATTCGTTTTGTGCTTATCAGGCCAGAGCTGAGTGAAACGTGTCCATTAAAGACCTTGAGTTTGTGTGTTGTGTTATGACAGGGGATATAATGTTTCCTGTATGTGTTTCATGCTGTCACAGGGATTTCAGTGGCTTTGCAGTTATGAACACCTGAGCCCAATTCCACAGGGAAGAAGTGGTCGATATGTCTTTACAGGCCACTATGTAAAACAAGGAGGTGTTGAGATGCAGTCAACCTTTTGTTTTAAGGGGTCATGACATGTTGGGGCTGCAAGCAAAGCTCTGACACATAAAAAGCTTTAGGATCGTCTGATATTTACAGGCAGAAGAAATGCACTTTTAGTCTGATTTTGTGAGTACTGATATCTGAACACGTGCGTTTCTATTAAAACGAAAGCAACTGGGACAAAAAACTAATTATTTTCAAATAAGCTTTGCTTGCAATATGACTGTGATTTATGATATATACAGTAGCGATTGATTTAAGACAACACAGGAGCACTCTATTTAACGGAGCAAGTTGTTTTTGGACAATTTCTGTGCTGTGCTGCATGTGAAAGCATCATGAGTGCTTTATGCATTGGTAAATATTGTTTGATTGCTTACTGATTGCTTTTATTGATTTTTTTTCTTCTTTCTATCCTTTAGCCCAAATTTTTGCAGTTGTTCTATTTGTCTGATCAAACTCATTATTTGTTTTATTTGTTGTTTATTGCTTATAATGTATTAAATTAATTAGAATCTAGAGACATGGATTCACAAAACAATCTTAAAGGGGTAGTTTAGCCAAGAGCTTTCTGACCCTGCATAGACAGCAATGCATATACAGGGCCAGAAAGCCCTCGGATTTCATAATTTATGTTCAGAAGATGAACGAAGATCTTACCGTTTTGGAATGACATGAGGATGAGTAATTACTGACATATTTTTCATTTTTGGCTGAACTGTCCCTTTAAGATTTTTTTTTTATTTTTTTATTCATAAAGCAAAAACAACTTCTTGTCTTTTTTTCTTAACAGTGTACATAAGAGAAAAAAAGACTTCACTTCTCTTTGTAAATAACCTCTTGAAGTTAAGATGCCCTCACATTGACAAAATGTTCTCAACATACAGTGGTGTGAAAAAGTGTTGGCCCCCCTCCTGGTTTCTTATTTTTTTGCATGTTTGTCACACTTTAATGTTTCAGATCATCAAACTAATTTAAATATTACACAAAGATAATGCAAGTAAATACAAAATGCAGTTTTTCAATGATGATTTCATTTATTAAGGGAAAAAAGCTGTCCAAAACCA